AGGAGGATCACAGAGTTGAGGACAGCCTGGGTGAGTGAGTTCAAGATCAGCCTGGACTGCATAGCTCAGTTAAGCAGTTTAGTTAGGAACTCAAATGACCTGCCAGTCCAGTTAAGCAGAGGCTTAAAGCTGAGAAAGTGCTGGCCATGCAGAGCGGTACAGGACCTCCCAGGCAGAGAGGTCAAGGGCAATTCCCTGAAGCAGACATGAGCAACGTGATCCAGGAAGACCCCTGTCCATGCACACAAATGTGCAAGGAAGACAGGCTGAGCTTGGAACACAGCGCAGGAAACTGGGATTTTGTATTAACTATGATAGGAAGTCAAAGGAAGGTTCTTTTGTTTTGTAAAATTTATTATTTTATTCTGAGTACATAACCCAGGTACATGAATCAATATTCAAAATCTATGCAGCTGGGCCAGGGATATAGCTCAGCAGTGCCGCTGCCTGCCTCACAAGCATAACGTCCTGAGTTTGATCTCCAGCACCAAAAAAAAAAAAGAAAAAAAAAGATATGCAGCTGTTCCTCAACTTGCGCCATGGTTTCGTCCTGTAGAGTGAAATCGCATTAGCTACAGCTAGCCCACCACATCCAGCTCAGCCAGCTACTTTCTTCATACTCAAGAGCACTGACACCAGCCCACTGCTGGGCAAAACCATTTGAAACAAAGCCTATCTGATAAGTGTTGGACATTCACAGAACTTATTGAATGCCACACTGAAAATGAAAACCAGCCATGCATGGTCGCACTCTCAGCAAGGTGAGGCAGGAGGATCAAGCATTTCAGGCCTGCCTGGACTACAGAGCAAGACCCAGTCTCGAAAAAAGAAAAACAGAATGACTGCACAGGTATGCATTTGTGCTACTCAGTAAAAAAAATTCAAGGGAGGGATTGTTTCTGTAAATTTACATACATACTGGGTGTGGTGGCACATTCCTGTAATCCCAGCACTCAGAAAGCTGAGGCAAGAGGATCTCCACGAGTTAGAGGCCAGCCTGGGCTACACAGTGAGTTCAAGGCCAGCCTGGGCTACATATTGAGACCCCATCCCAAAAAAATAAACCAAGGTTACATGCAGAAGATTCCCTCCAACTTCTGTCCAACAGTTCCCCAACCCTAGAGACAAACACTTTATCAGTCTCTGGTGAGTTTGAAAAAGGGCAGAACAGGATGTAGTACTATTTCATGTAAAGCAGCCAGCTGAGGCATGTAGCTGAGGGAAAGAGAGGACCTAGGGAGGCAGCTGGAGACTGCACAGAGACAGATTCAGGGTGTATCTCAAAGGCAGAACTGAGAACATTGATGTCAGTGAGACACATGAACGACTGGCTGAAGGCACAATTCCCCACATTTACTTCAGAGTACTTATTACACAGCGGACAGCACATGGGAGCAATGCGTGACACCAGAAAAACACTGAACTCGGACCTCTCCACTGAGCTATATTTCCAGCCTTTTTTCTTTTGAGACAAGGCCTCATGCTAAATTGCCCAGCCTGGGCTGGGATTCATGAAAACCCCTGCCTAGTCTCAGAGTGCTGAGCATGTGCCACCACACCCAGGGATTCAGCCAGTCTCAGGCACTTCAGATCTGAAATCAATCCAAAACTGGATTGCTGCAGTAGCAACTATTTACAAAGAGAAAGATGTAAAACTGAGGACTGCAACCCATAGGTGTTAAGCACTAACAGAGAAGGCTGTCTTCTCAACAGAAGAAAATTGTGGAGTATGACACCTATGCAAAGAATTACCTTTGATTCTGATAATTTAAAACATGCCAGAAAATTCTCACCAAATCACAGTATAAGAAAAACAAGGCATGCTGGGCATGGTGGCACATGCCTATAATCCCAGCACTTGGGAGGCTGAAGCAGGAGGATCACTGTGAGTTCAAGACCAGCCTGGGCTACATAGTGAGTTCCAGGTCAGACTCAACTACATAGTGAGACCCTGTCTCAAAAAAAAAAAAAAGAAAAACAAGGCATTAATGGACAAGACTTTTGAGTTGAATGCTCATATGTTGAGTTAGGCATAATGGTACAGGCCTGTAATCCCAAAACACCGGAGGCTGAGGCAGGAAGATTGCAAGTTTGAGACTAGCCTAGGCTACACAGTGAGACCTTGTATGAAAAAAAAACAAACTAGAAAAAAGCAGTCATATCTTAGGTTGGTGATGCAGCTCAGTGGCAGAGAGCTTTCCTAGCATGCACAATGCCCAAGGTCCAATCCTTAGCACTGCAGAGAAAAAAGGAAACGCATCTTATAAACCATGATATACACACAAAAAGGACTGTTATGGTAGAAAAATATGTATACTACCATCTACCTAATAAAGAGAAGATATGACTATGACCATAAAATTAAAAACTGGAATGACTACAAGGAAAGGAGGAAACAGTGTGAAAGGCAAAAAGATATAAAAGAAAGCAAGATGTCTTTTGACTACACAGTAACATATCAGATTTGAAAGCCTCTTTTTTTTTTTGTACCAGGGATTGAACTCAGGTCCTTGCGTTTGCAAGGCAGGCCACCGAACCGCTGAGCTAAATCCCCGGCCCCTGAAAGCCTCTTGATACAGGCATTGTGTCACACACCTATAAGCCCAGCACTTCAGGAGGCAGGGTGGGAATTGTCAAAAGTTTGTGCCCAGCCTGAGCAACTTAGTAACTTAGCACAACCCTGTCTCAAAATAAAAAATAAAAAGGGCTGGGGACACAGCTCAGTGTGAAGGGCCTTGATTCAACCCCAGTACCACAAACAAACAAAAAAAGAGGCCTAGATTTGCTTTCTTTTTTCTTTTCTTTTTTGGTTATTTGAGACAGGGTCTCACTATGTAGTTGAGACTGACCTAGAACTTAACTGTGTAGCCCAGGCTGGTCTCAAACTCACAGTGATCCTCCTGCCTCAGCCTCACAAGTGCTGGGATTACAGGAGTGTGCCACCACGCCCAGCTTAGACTTGGTTTCTAAACATGGGTTGAGTAATCCTTATCTGAACTGCTTGGGACCAAAAGTTTTGAATTTCAAGTATTTTTCTGCTTTTGGAATATTTGTGTATACATAGTTTAATGAGCCTAAAATTAAATTTTGTTTCATTACACTCCATATACATAGGTTGAAGGTAGCGTTATGCAATTTCTGTTTTTCTGGTGGCACTGGGAATAGAATGCTAAGCAAGCACTCCACCATTGAGTAATACCCCCAGCCCTACGTGGTATTTTAAATAATTCTGTGCATAAAACAAAGTTTGTGTACCACAGCTAAAGGGCCTGGGATGGTCATTTTTCCCTTGGAAATGCTCAATAAACCGTGCCATCGAGCACTGGACAGAGATGGTTTTATACTTGTGGCATCATGCCAGCACTCCAAAATCCATGTTGTTCTGGATTTTGCAGCATTTAGGATTTCAGATATTTGACTAGGGGTCTTCATCCTGTACTATTTTTTATTAAAAGAGGCAAAGACCCCTTAAAGAAATAGATGACTCCAGGGATCGCACAGAAAATGGACCAGGAGCCAAGCATGCTAATGCACATCTGCAATCCCCGCACTCAGAAGGCAGGAGCAAGAGGATAGCAGAGTTCAAGACCAGCCTGGGTTAGTGAGTTCAAGGCCATTCTGAACTATTTAGCAAGACCCTATCTCAAAAAACAGAGAACAAAACAAAAATGTTATAAGGTCTGGGGTAGCTCATCATACCAGGAAGAAGACAACTCAAGTACTGAACTGGGTCTAAACAATTTAGGAGCCAAATGAACAGATTCCTATTGGACAAGCATGAAACACTTGCTGGGTGGTGGAGCACACTTACAATCCCTGCACTGAGGAGGCTCAGGCAGGAGGATGGCCAGCCTGGGATACATGATACACAAGGCCAGCCTGGACTACACAGCAAGACCCTGCCTCAAAACACCAACAACATCAAAAAGGATGAAAAACTGAGCATCACTGTGGACAATATCCAGAGTAGAATATATAAAACAAGCTCAAGTGTGAGTGCACAAGGACAAACATACAATCCACTGGGTACTTTGGAAGACTGTAAGGTGGCCAGTTCCTCATTTCAAAATCTAGTAAACAGAGAGAAACTATTGACTCTGCCTTTCCTTGGCTGTTGTTTGGTTTTTTTGTTTGTTTGTTTTGTTTTTTTAAACAGGGTCTCACTATGGAGCCCACCTAGTCTATCCTATATACATAGCCCAGGCTGGCTGGCCTTGATCTTGAGATCCTCCTGACTCAGCCACCACAGAGCTGGAATTATAAGCATACACCCCACAGCCACTTTACCCTCCATTTTACTATGTTTAAAGGTAATCAAATAGTGAATGAAGAGAGATTTCTCTTTATAGGATGGAAATAATAATAAATGAAGGTACAGAATTAAACTATCAACAGTTTTCAATGCCAAACGCAATGACCCTC